TTCCATTGAAGTATGGCATTTCAAATCCCCAAGTAAAATGTATTGAAACAGTACCCAAGTATAAAATGAAATCTTTTTTTAGGATACCAGATCCTTTATCAAACAGTTGATTAACTGATTACTATCTCACTGAAACACAAAATAGTGGGATCTTGCCTGGTGAGATCCATGATAGGTAAGCTACTGAAGAAGAAAATTCTTGAAAGGTATAAGGGAAAAATGTCAAAATATGTAATAAGGGAATAATAATTCTGATTACTAAGGGATTCTTATTAGAAAATATGGAAGACAAAAGAAAGAGAACAACTTTTTAAATGGGTGTAAGAAGACCAAGAAAATGGTTTAGTATTGAAGACCAAATGAAGAACTTTTGGTAAAGATGAAGGGAATACATTATATCAAATCCACACTATGAGAAATGTTGTACATTTTTTAAAGATTTTATTATTTTTACTTTACGTGTGTGAATGTATTGCCTGCTTGGATGTAAGTGCACCCATGTTGTGAAAAGCCCATGGAGGTCAGAAGAGGATGTTGGATACCCTGGAACCGGAGTGACAGACAGTTGTTAGCCACCAAGTAGGTGCCGAGAACCGAACCCAGGTCCTCTGCAAGAGCAGCCAGTGCTCTTAACCCCTGAGCCATCTCTCTAGCACCACTGCTGCAAATTGTTTGAACTAAAAAGATGCCAACACAAATCAAGAAATGGACATTTTGGATACCAATGAAATTGCTAAAAATCTGAGTGTTAGAAAAAATACCACAATTATTTGAAATTATTATGACTGTGTTCTAAGAGAACTGTAAACCTGTGCTTGAAAGTTTATAATTTATATACATATGACCACTGCAGATTCAAGATGGTATCAATGTGGTAAAGCACCTACAAAGTGGCAGTTAATAGGGATGATACACTATTAGTGAAAATAGTGTGAAAAATGTCTGAGTATGTGTTTATCCTATGATAATCATGAAAATGATACAAATTGGTATGGCAACAAAGACATTAATTTTGAGAACTCTAACATATAGAGTACTGAAAATTTTCAAAATAATATGAGCTTTCACATTGGTTTAAGCATAACAGATACAGAATACTTCTAGATATCACTGTTATCAACTTTTATTTATTGCTTTTATGTAGCAGAAATTTGTTTACTTCCTGTCAAAGGAAATGGAAGTTATTTTATATGGCATCATACAATTGTAAAATATGATTAAGTAAACTTAAATGTGTTAAAGTAAAAAGCACTAGATCTATAAATATTTGAAGAGTCCTGAAATTATGAAAATGTGTTGTTTTATTCAACTAATCAGAAATTCATTGTCCTATTATTTATGTCCTAAAACTGTGTCTACACAGAGCAACTGCATAGTCCTGCTGTCTTTTTAATGGATTTCATTATAGAACAGTGCTCTCTTATTTCAAGATATTTTACACTGTTTAAATATGCCAATGGCACAGGAAAAATTATGCATTCCATTATCAGTAAGGATCCAGGAACAAAATGACTAAATTTTATAAAATTATTTTTTAATATTTTACTTATTTTTATTTTATGTGTATGCATGAATTGCCTGCATGTGTGTAAGTACACCATCGTGTGCAATGTCCGCAGAGGATGGAAGAGGCTGTCGGACCCCCTGGAACTGGAGTTACGGACAGTTTTTAGCTGCCATGTGGGAGCTGGGATTCAAGAACAGCCAGTGTTCTTCACTGCCAAGCCATCTCTCCAGCCCCTAGACCTACCTGTCTGGATAGTTTTGGTGTCAACTTGACACACATAGGTTGAGAGAGCCTCAATTGGGAAATTGCCTCCGCTGAACTGGCCTGTGGCCATGTCTGTGAGGCACCTTCTTGATTGTTGTGTGATGTGGGAGGTCCCCAGTCCACTCTGGGTGGTGCCACCCCTGGGCAGGTGGGCCTGTGTTGCATGGAAAAGCAGGATGAGCAGGGGCCAGGGGAACAAATCAGTGAGCAGTGTTCCTCTGTGGACTGTGCTCCAGCTCCTGCCTCCAGGTTCCTGCCCTGAATTCCTGCCTTGGGCTCCCTGATGAACTGTGACCTGGGAGATGTAAGATAAATAAACCCTTTCCTCCCCAAGTTGGTAG